TCTTGGGATTTTGGACATGCATGCACATGCACTTAGTGTGAATTTCAAGCCTCTGAATCCAAGACTCTAACCGCGATGGGCCATGCGGGAATCCAGTGATATAACCATTATGCCCTCTGCTGGTCCCTTCCCTTCCCTTTGGAAGGTTAATATTGTGAAATACAAAATTCTAATTTGGTATTTTTTTTTTTTCCCTTTAAACACTTTAAACATTTCATTTCAGGGCCAGCAGGTGGCATAGTGGTTAAGGTGCTGGACTCTCACATGGCCTACGGTGGTTGGTTTGGGACCTAGCAGCTTAAAAATCATGCCAGGCACATGTGTATGTATACCCAAAATCCCTAGAGGAGGAGAGGGGATTCTAGCATGGCCATTCCTCTAGGGTGGAGAGTGAATTCTCATTTTCTTTCTCTATGTCTGTCCCTGTCTTTCTTCAGCGAGCATGTACACCCTATGGCAAAAACAAAGAAATTTCATTTTATTCTCTTCTTGCTTGCATGGTTTCTGAAAAGTAGTCCCATGTAATTCTTATCCTACTTGCTTCTCTATAGGTTAGGTTTTTTTGTTTTGTTTTGTTTTTCTGGCCTTTTTAAATTTTTTTTATTTGTTATAGTGTGTGTATGCTCGCTGGAGACAGACAGGGAGGGTTTGAGTAGGGAACGTGAGCACTCCCCAGAGGGATGGGTCACTCGCAATCCTGTCTCCTCCATTCTCCTCTCCGGACTTTGGGAATACACACATGCGCCTGGCATTTGTCTTTTTTTTGGGGGGGGGTGGAGATTTTTGCTATAGGGCATGTGCGCTTGCTGAAGAGACAGAGAGTGACAGAAAGCAAGAAATCACCCCCTGGGGGGATGGCACGCATGCATGCCCGGTGTGAGTTTTAAGCCTCTGGATCTGAGACCGGAACCGCAGTTGACTATGTGGGAGTCCAGTGATGTAACCATCATGATGTCTACTGGTCCCAGTGCCTGGCATGTTTTTCAAGCTGCTAGGTTCGGGACTCAAACCTCACAATTGGCTCTGTGGAATCTAGCCAGTACAACCACCACACTGCCAGCTGGCCTCTGGCTTCTTTCAGTAGTTTTCTGTCTTTGATTTTCTGCAATTTGAATATAATATTCCTAGGAATATTTTTTTTTAAATCGTTATTCTGCTTGGTCTTCTCTGAGCTGCTTAAATCTGTGTGTTTAGTATCAATTGTTAAAAAGGAAAATTCTCAGTCGTTATTAATTCAAACATTAGTTTTATGCTTTTCTTCTATTTTCATAATCCCATATACCTTTTTTAACTGTACTGCAATTCTTGGATTTGTTTTTCCCTTTATTATTCTTTTTGCCTTTTTGAATTTTTTTTTTTTTTTTTAAGTTTTTGCCTTAGGGTGCATGTACTTGCTGGAGAGAGAAAGACAGACACGGTGAGAGGGAAAGTGAGAAACTGGGGATGGCCACACCACAATCTCTTCTCCTCTATTCTCTTCACGGGATCTTGGGCATGCAAGAACATATGCCCAGCATCATTTTCACGGCACCAGATCTGGGAATTGAACCACAGTCAGCCATATGGGAGTCCAGTGACAAAACCACTACTCCATCTGCTGGCACCATTTTTGCATTTTTATTTTGCAAGTTTCTGTTTCTTCAAGCTCACTAATTTTTTCCTTAGCCATGTCCAGTCTGTTGATGGGCCCATCAAAGCGTTCCTCATGTCTGTTAGTCTTTGTGATTTCTAGCAATACTTTTAATTCTTCCTCAGAGTTTCTATTTTTCTGTTTACATTACCCATATGTTCTTGTACGTAGTCCTCTTTTGCCAGTAGAGATCTTAGCACAGTAATAATAATAATTATATATATCTTAGCACAGTAATAATAATAATAGTAATAAAATTTTCAATCTTATAATTCTAACATCTCTACCATAACTGAGACTTCTGATGCTTGCTCAGTCTCTTTAATCTGTATTTTCAGTCTTTTAGTAATGCCTTGTAATTGTTTGTTGACTGTGAGGCTTGGTGTGTGGTTAAAGGGAAATAAAGGTAAGCAAGCCTTTAGTGTGAAGTGTTATGTTTATCTGGCTAGCAGTTAGGCTATGCTTATTGTTTGCTATTACTATAGGTGTTGGAGGCTAAAATTTCCTTCAGTGTCCTGATTTTTATCTTCTCTTTTATCTCTAGTTTTCCCTAGATAATTCTTCCTAAATACAGTATAGTTACATAGTTCTTTCTGTTGAATTTCCCTGGTAGTATACAGGAGCTGTATTGATGTAGTAGGGAGCAGAGGAAGAGCTCTGTAGACCTACAATTAAGTCTTGTTCTGTTAGCACACCTGAGTCTATGGGCTCTGATCTTTGCAATTGCTTTTCAGATTCCCCCTCCCTTTTAAGATATACAGCAAGTCTAGAGGGGGCTGCGGTTAGAATTTGGTATTTCCCTTTCCCCAGGTCAGTTAGGTTCCAGGGAAATCCCTCTGTTAGGCTCTGGTAGTTTTCTTTCAGGTAGCCATTGTTATAAATAACAATGTTCTGGGAATATTTCAAAATGACTACATTTTCTCTCTCCTTTCAAGAAGAATGAGAGGATCATTCTCTCATCTGTAGTCTTCTGCATGAGAACCTGGTCGTGTCCTGGAGATAAAACTCACAAAAGTGCAGTGATCCTCATAAGACTGAGTCTGTTTGCCTATTCTGTACAATTACTTGGACAATTTCCTTTTAAACTTTGTAGTGAAGTCAGAGGTATACACTGACTTGTAAAAATGTAAATATGTGATCTTGGTTAAATTTTAGTTATATTGGATTGCTGGGAAAGTCATGATGAGTTTTTGCATAGAAAAATACATCATGACTTTCTTGATGACCTAGTAATTTACATATTTCCCTCCAAATGATTATGTATCACTCTTTACTCCAGTGTCTAGTGTACATGCACTGAGAAATATAGTACTTCTAATATGAAGAATGGGGGAAGTGAAAGATATAATATTTCCTGAAATAAATAATATAATTATCCTTGTTAATTATATCATGAGGAAAGAAGATACTCTGATAAGAGCAGAGTCTAAAATCACCTTGGTCCCTGAACATGGCAGGGGGCACACCTCAGATGTAAAAAATAAATTAAATAAATGGAACCAGCAGTTGGCGTAATGGCTTTGTCGCTGAACTCCCATGTAGCTGACTGCGGTTCAAGCCCTGGACCTGGTGGTAAACTCACACCATGCGCATTTGCATACGTGCCCAAGATCACGAGAGGAGAATGGAGGAGAAGGGATTGTAGGATTTCCGTGTGGCCATCCCCCCTGGGGGTGATTTCTTGCTTTCTGTCTCTCTGTCTCTCTCTGTCTCTCTGGTGAGCGCATGCGCCCTATAGCAAAAATCTCTCCTAAATAAATAAATAAATAATAAATAAATAAAATACATACATACATAAAGAAATAAAAATAAATAAATAATAAAAAGAAAGAAAGAAAGAATATATTCTGATAGAGAGCATGATGCTTTGCTTACTGTTTTAAAGAAAATTTAGAGACTAACGACTTTAGGGGAAAAAAGTAAAAAGTCTGTCTCTTGGAATTTTTAGCTTCTAAACTTGTCTGTACTTAGTTTAGAGCAATCCATTAACTGCAGTTTAGATTTTCCTGCCCTGACACTGGTTTTTATTAATGGGTATCTGTTCTAGTAAGTTGTGTGTCTCAATTATTTACCTGTTTCACCAACTTGGGGGCAGCAGTTTTTTCTATGACCTCAGTTCTCTGATGAATCCAAGATTTGTTTATTTTAAATTTGTTCAACTCTTTTGTGTGAAGATGAGAGTGATATCTTACAAGCTCCTTGTGTCTGACTCAAAATGGATAGTCTGCAATGTTTTTAATTATAGCTTTCAGCTACAGTTTTTCTTTTCTTTCTTTTTTTTTTTTTTCCTTCAGATTTTTTGCCAGAGATTGCATGGAGACAGAGAGAGAAGAGAGGGAAATGGGGACTCACTTACCCTGGGGGGTTGGAGATAGCAGTACTACAATCATTTCTCCTCCATTCTCCATCCTCCATTCTCCTCTTGGGATTTTGGGCATGCACACACAGGTGCCTGGTATGTTTTTTAAGCCAATGTGTCCAGGACTCGTACTGCAGAGTTGACCATGTGGGATCCAGTGCCTACCCACCATGCTGCCTGCTAACCTAGTTATAGCTTTTTTTCTTTTTTTTAATTGAATAAAAGAATTGAAAAAAATTTACTCATCTTGCAAATAGCTTTTGATGACACTGTTAATGAATAATATGTTAAGCATTATATCATTAATATATTGGTATTTTGACATTTTTTCAAATAGAAAGATAACATTCACTAGCTTTTCCAATTATTACTTATCTGTAACTCCTTATATTTCACCCTCCAAAGCCAAATAAATATACTCTCAGAACTCTCCACAAAACTTCTGTTCATAATTCCTCTCTATCTTGTACCCATTCATAGGTAATCATTGTACCTTTCTATGCCTTTCTATGTCAGAACCTTCCTGTATTTAGTCCTACCTCCATTTTCAACAAGTTATTGGCATTTGATCATGAGAAGTAATATATTTTATATTATTTTTAGACTACCTCAGTTTTTAAAATCTTTTAGATAATCCTTTTAATTAAGGCCTTTCTATGAGCCTCAGTTCTGTGGAGGAAAAACCATGTCAGAAACTATACACGTCTGTGTTGTATTTATCAGCTGGCCCTCTATTACACACTTCTTCTTCCCTTTGATAGCTAATGTTTAGGTTGCCTTATTTACCTAAATATAATTACAGTATTTTAGGTACTGAATAGAGTCTGCCATACTTTTTATCATGCTGAATTTTCTAGTAATTAACAAATAAAATCTTAAAATGCTTAATGTATTTGGTTTTTGCTTTTTCTTTCTTTCTTTTTTAATAATTTTTTAAAATTATTTTTACTGAACTTTATTTATCCACTTACTTATATATTTATTTAAATTTGTGGTTTTTGCTTTTTCTAGGATGAACTCTCAGGAATGAAAAATAGAATTCAAGTAGTTGTGCTGGAGAATGAAAGACTCCAGGAAGAGCTGAAATCTCAAAGACAAGAGGAGACAATGAGGGAACAAACACTCCTGGATGCTTCCGTAAGCTCCCTCTTCCCCCCACACCCTGCTGTCAGGTGAATGCATTCCCCAGAGAGAAAGAGGGAAAGTGAGAAAGCATCCCCTGGGGAATGTCTCCTCTGCAGTTCCTTCTCTTCCAATCTCCTCTCAGGATTTTGGGCACACATGCACATGAACCTGGTGTGACTTTCCAAGCAACTGGGTCTGGAACTTGAATTGTGGAATTAGCTATGTGGGATTCAGTGCCTTAACCTACATGCCACGTGCTGGCACCTGTAAGCATTTTTTAAAACCATGGAACCAGCAGGTGATGTGGTAGTTAAGTCGCTGGACTCTCACATGGCTGACTGCACTTAGAGTCCCGGACCTGGAGGCTCTCTCTTTCTCTCTCTCTCTCCACCGCCCTCCATCTCTCTCTGGTGAACACATATGCCCTATAGTGAATTAAAGTAATAATAAAAAATACAATTAAAATAATTATTTAACAAAACAAAACATAAATTGTGTTTAGGTTTGAATGTTTTCTACTATCCTATGCTCCAGCCTGCTGAATTGCTTAGATTTCTGTCCTTATAGTCTGACTAAAATTCTATGCTGGTATTTGCTTAATGCCTCACAAATTAAAATTCACTGTGATGGAATGAATCCTCCAATGAAATGATGTAATGATGCCTAATATTTACTGTGGTTTCCTCTCTGGGTATACCATTTGTGCTTGTTCCATACAGAAAGAGCAAGTCTGAAAGCAAGAAGTGTGTTATGTAGAAAGAACTTTGTTACATCTAGAAATTGCTCAAAACCTAGGGGACCAGTAGTTGTTGTAATGGCTGTGTTACTGGATTCCCATGTAGTCGAATGCAGTTGGAGTCCCGGACCCGGTGGCTTAAACTCACGCCAGGCACGTGTGTGTGCATGCCCAAGATCGCCACGGGAGGAGGAGGAGAAGGGGTTGGGGTGTGGCCATCCCCCCTAGGGAGTGATTTCTTGCTTTCTGTCTCTGTCTTTCTGGTGAGTGCATGCGCCTTACAGCAAAAACCTCTCAAACAAACAAACAAACAAACAAACAAAAAAACTGTAGACTAGATTTCTCTTGGATTTCTCTAAATTTTCCTTGAACTCTGAAATCTAAAGTCTGATTAGTAGCATGACACAGCATAAAGAACTTTGCCTGATGATCCAGGAATCAAAACCTTGGTCTTCGCATTGTCCCTAAGAAGCCGAGTTTCCCGGGGAAACTGGGTGTTAAAAGTAATTTCATAGGGCTTTATGTGGCTTAAGTTTATGGGTCCTTCCTCTTTTTCTTTATTGGTAATTTGAGAAGATTCACCTACATCAGGAGTTGACCTTGGAGATTCCTGGGCTCCATGTTCTGAGAGTCTGATTCTGTTGATTTGGTTGGATCCTAGGAATAGAACTTTTATCAAGTTGCCTAAGTTATTTTAAGTTCAGTGACCCACAATTTGAAGAATAGTGGATCCAATTATCTCTATAATTCTGTGATACAGAATTATTGTGGTAATACTTAAATAGTGATAACTTGGTATCTTCTTATGGCCTGTGAGAATACTTTTGCTCTAAATATGTTTTTTGCTCTTTTGCTATCGGAGATAGTTAATCACAGCTTGTTCTGCTTTTTGAGATAAATCAGCTCTCCATGAGGAAGTTGTGTAGGTGAATACTTGCTTCTTATAGCCTCACTTTGAAATGGACTTTGGTGGTTTTGACAAAGTTGTCATTAGTAAATCAATTCTTTTATGAAAAAATAAGATAGTATTGATATTTTTTTCTAGGTATTATCTAATTTTTGTTTTTGAAGTTTAAAAAAATTATTTTTATTACCTGACTTGATATTTTATTTGTAATCCTTGAGTTGTGTTAGAATTTGCTACTGAAAAGTATCTGATTGTGCTACCTCTGGAAAAAAAAATAGACTGATGGATATTTGTTTATTTTTCTGAAATTACATTTAAGGTTGTGGTCAGTTACTTTTGTGTTACTGTATAACTTTTTGTGAATATTTATATAACTATGAATATTAGTGGTTAAAAATTTCATCTCAGTTTTTTTATTACTTTAGTATCTGTCAATTGGAAAAAAAAATGGCCATAAAAAGTACTTAGAGTAGTTCATTAGAAAAGAATATACATATATATTTGCTTTTCTTCCACATATTTAGCCACTTAAAAAACAGTGACTTGGTTATTCACAGTCTTCAATATTTATGCAGTGACAAAGAAGTAGAAGAAAGGGAAGTGAAATGAGAAAGGAAATTAGGCAGACAAGTGAATCAGAGGGCAAGAGGAGTGAGTAATGCCAAAGAGGAAGGAAATGGTGGTAAATGCACACATGCCTTACAGTGTGAGCAAAGGAATTTGCTTAAGAAAACTAGAGCCATAATCATAGAAAGGACAATGTTATAGAGAGGTTTTCTTGTTTTTTGGTTTTTAAACATTCTCATGAACTAAAATGTAATGCCGATATTGAAATGATTGTTGCAAATATGTCAGATGACACCAACATCTATTTTAATGTTAGTCTTCTATGTTATTTGTTGTTACGGAATTATTACCCCCACATTTTACTTGTGTAGGTGAATTAAGGCATTTGTGAATTGCATGCATGGTGCTGTATCAGGAATTTTAACATGAATATAACTTTTTAGAATATTTAAATACGAATAGCTCAATAGGCCAACAGGTATTTTTCTTTTTTGGGGGAAAGAGGCTTTTTTTTTTAATATATAAGAGTAATTTTGCTATAGGGAGCATGTGCTTGCCAGAGAGACAGAAAGGGTGTATTAGTGTCTAATACAGTCTACTCTATTCTCCTCTTGGGAGTTTGGGCACACATGCACACGTGCCTGACATGAGTTTCAAGTCTCAGGGTCTGGGACTTAAAGAACAGTACACCAGATGGGAGTCCAGCACTTTAACGACTACACCACCTGCTGGCCCCATCTTTTTCCCTAGGGTGTGTGCACTTGGGGAGGGGAAGAAAGTGAGAAAGCACCCCTCAGGGGAGATGGCAATGCCTCATTCTCTTCTCAGTTCTCCTCTCAGGACTTCAGGCACTCGTGCAAACATTCCTGGTATGTTTTTCTTTCTTTCTTTCTTTTTTTTTTTTTTCTGTAGGATGCTTTTGCTTGCTGGAGAGACAGAGAAAGAAAAAATGAGAAATAACCCCTGGGGTTGGTCACACCTCAATCCCTTCCCCTCCATTCTCCTCTTGTGCCTTGCATGAGTCTCAAGCTGCCAGGTCCAGGACTTGAACTGCAGTCAGCCACGTGTCTAGCAACATTACCACCACATCAACTGCTGGTCCCACCCACTGTGTTTTTCAAGCCTTCTCATGCTTGGACTTCAACCACAAAGTTGGCCATGTGGGTTCCAGCTGCTTAACCATCAACCACTAGCTGGCCCAGATAGGGATTTTTTTTAATGAATCAATCGAAATGTTAGTTCTTGATGTTGCCCATCTTATTGGCTAATCTAAGTATAGATTTTCAATGTTTCATATTCCTTCTTTTACAAATAATTATGATAGTTTTATGGGAATAACTAACATTTATTGATAATTATATGTTTATACTGTGCCAAGCACTGAATCAAGCACTTTATTTACATCAAGTACTTTATATTAGTTCAGTTTTCCTATAGACATAATAGTTCAGACTTGGGGCATGCATACACATGTACCTGGTGTGTGTATGTATGTATGTGTGTGTATATATCTATATCTATATCTATCTATATCTATATATATGTACTTAAGAGATTTTTGCTATAGGGCATGTGTGCTTGTCATAGAGACAGAAAGGAAAGCAAGAAATCACCCTTCAGGGGGCATGGCCACACCACAATTCCTTCTCTTCCAGTCTCCTCTCAGGATTCTAGGCATGCACACATACGCACCTGGCATGAGTTTTGAGCCACCAGGTCCGGGACTTGAACTGTGGTCGACGATGTGGGAGTCGAGCAGTATAACCCTTAGGCCATCTGCTGGTCTCTGCCAGGTATGTTTTTCAAGCTACCAGGGCCAGGATTTGAACCACAGTCGACCATGTGGAATCTGGCTCTCCAAATATAGGACTTCAACACTGCTATGAGGCTGGCCTACAAGCAGATAGATGATCTTTTAAAATGAAACCATTCAAAATATGTTTTATTTGTGTTCATATTTTTTTAAGAGAATTGTGCCTTCAGGTGTGTGTGCTTGCCAGAGAGGGAGAGACAGAGACTATGAGAAGGGAAATGAAAAAGAGGGGATGGCCATTGTCCTCTTGGGATCTTGGGCACACACGCACGCACCAGTGTGATTTTTTCAAGCCACTGGGTCCAGGACTCACCGTGATCAGCCATGTAGAAGTCCAGTGATATAACCGCTATGTCATCCACTGGCCCTAGTTGTATTCATATATATATATATATATATTTTTTTTTTTT